ATGGGCGATGAAGTGTGTGCTGGCAAATCTAGACCAACAATGTATGTAATTAAAGATCATTCTATCACCTATGTTAGGTGAGATCATGGCCAAGTCCTGCATAAATGTGGATAAAGCTTTATGACTGAGTAAGGACAGGGAACCACATTTTCTCCAGTATGTGTCCATCCCCACCTGGTTATGTCTGCCTATGCTGTTTTTCTGTTTCCATTATAATTAATACTCGTTTGTATTGATTTTAATTTCCATGATAGAAGGAAAAATCAGGGTTTACTCACCACGAGGAGTCCCTGGGACGCCACATCTCACTCTACAAAGGAAGTGAAAGCGCTCCTCCCTTGGGTCTGATTCATGAGAGAGAGAGAGAGAGAAGGCTGTGACGTCGCTACGCTGCTTAGAGCGCCACGGTGAGGAACTGGGACAACAAACTTGATGTCACGAAGACTCTCTAATAAAACAAATGCATTGCTCGCTACAAATCAGTCTTGGAGATCAGCCCTGGTAAGGGGAAATAACAGACATACCTGTTTCCCCAGAGGAAGTTACCAAGAGCTCTCCCTACATGGGCTACAAGGGTGACATTAATCACACAGGGCAAAATTAAGTCTAAAAAAGAGAAAAATCTATTGTGTGTGGGTGTATAAAGTTAATTTGAGGTAGAATTATCTCAAAGGAGGTAAGGCAACAGGTAGAGGAAACCCAGCAGGTTGAAAAACTCTCAAGCATTTGAAATTAACATTTCTGGGAGATAAGAGCTTTCCTATGGGGTAAACTTGCAAAAGACACAATTGCCTCTTAAAACCAAACAGTCTATGAAGACTCAAATAAGAGTTGTGCCTGAAATGAGGGCAAGAGATCAAACGATTTGCCTGCACAATAGCTCTAATATCAAAATAAAAATACTCTAACATTTATTACTTAAACCTACATACACTACACATTGCTGTCTAAAATGTTTCAGCAAAGTTTTCAAAAATAACTGTCAGTTCTTGGCACCATTATTGTTTTTCTCTATATAATCCCCCTCAACTTTTTACTCAAGAAGTTAAACGACTGAGAATTCTAAAACACAAAATGAAGTGGCAAATTTGAGTAGGGAAGAGAATTCATAAAAATGCCAGGTAAATTAAAAACACTTGTATGATTTTTTTTGTGGAAAAATGATGTTTGATACCTCTTCAGCATAATAGAGAACACTCTACTTTTCTGAAAAATGAAATACTTGCATTCTTCCAAGAAACACAGATATGTCATATAATAAATCAAAACTTAATTCTGATTTCCACGTCCTCATCACTAAAAAATTATCCTAATTCAAGAGGTTTCCTGAATGCTTTTCTAACATGCTACCACCCTATCTGGGAAGGAGGGAAGAAATGAACCAAATGAATCTGCTTTTAAAGAATATGGATGTATTTCTTTATTTATTCTAGTCTGTCACAAAATATTTAAGGGTAAAGATTTTTCAAGGCTATTAATTCATTATCAACAGTTTTCAACTACATATTGTTGAGATGACTAAGGACAGGTGAACTTGCTAGGAAGCAGGGCATTCTTTGCAGACCACACACCCACAACTACCAAATCAAGATAATTACTCATGTGGCGATGAACATTTTAACAGGGTCAAAAGGTGGCAAAATGCTGCCAGTGTGGGGCAATCATGACGAAGGCTGGATTCTGGAGGGGCTGTAGAATCGCCCTGGTCCTCAGCTTTCGTGAAAGACAGAGTCCTTGTGTACTTGGTTGTCAGTTCTGGCAAAAAAACAAAACCAAAACCAAAATCCATAGCAAGTTTGCAGAAGATTTAGAAGTAGATTCTAAGAATAAATTCTAAAGCAGAAAATCCAGAAAGCCGTCAGCTATCAAAAGCCTCTCACAAATGCTGTACCAGATGTAACTCTGTGATAGTGTAGGGAAGAATGCTGATCTCAATAATATCATTCCACTAGTGATGTGGTATTGAAACATACAGTAGTAAAGACTGCAAGTAGTTACTGTTTTCGTGTTAGCATCTTGATTACTTTGACAAATATCCTTTCCCCACCTTTTAGGAAATAATTGGAAAAACTAAGAAACTAGGAAGATAGTAACTTTTTTTACACAAATAAGAATGAAATACACAAGTGTGAGTAAGAGGGAACTGTTAGAAAAAAATACAACCAACTTCTTTGCTGGTCTCTTTAATTTCTTCTTATCCCTTTGAAAATCAAGTCAGACTGAAGGGAAGAGTACTTTTTACTTGCTGAAAAAGATAGAACATGATACAGCTATAAACAGGACAAATCAAATCACTTTAATGGAAGTAGGGAAGGTTGGGCAAAAAGCTTTAAGAAGGCAGAATTTGGCTATTTCTAAATAATAACTTTGTAAAATTGAAATTTATTTTTATATTCCTAAAATATGTGAAAGGTCTTAAACATAATGTTGACAGTAGCTTTGCTAATATAACTTTTCATATTATATTTCAAGTTTGGTGCTTTGAAAAATATGCTCAAAAAGACATTGTTTTCTAAATTGCTAAAAGAAAATACAAATTGCAACTCATATTACTGTAAGCAGAAATTACTCAGTTTTGATATAGCCTTCCTAAGGCACTAAGAAAGGCAGTAATGTTCATATTTTGCATAATTTAGTTTACACTCTCACAGAGTACTGAAAATTGCTGTAGTTCTGTTATACAATTTGAACTGCATTTCATGTTTTATATACATGTCATATACACTTAGTGATAGCATAAAATGTAGTTGACAGTTGATCCAAAATGCAGAAATAGCCAGGACTATTGGCACAAGAAAACTTAAGGAGTCTTAAATGTGGTATGTAACAGGCTGCCCTGTGCTGTCATTTCAGCTATAAAACCTTGAAAAGAGAATACACTTTAATTTTGTTTTAAAACGTTACTTAAGTTAATTTAGATTGAAAAATATTTTAAAGAAATTACAAAAGCAATCATCTTTAAATGTTAAAAAATCTTAAAATATCTAGAAAAGGTTGGCTCCAGGGACCAGAGATCACATACAATAAAGTAAAAATGGGTGTAGAGAATTGAAGACCTGCCAGCTCTTTGCAACACTTCTTTTAGTTCTCAGAACAAAACTATAAAACTTCTCTACTGCTATTTTGTTGCCCTGCTTCCCCAAGTGATAAAGGACCTATAGAAATGACACAGTTCCAAATGCCTGTACAATAAGATAGGTCTCCAAATAAAAGCGTAAAAAAAGGCCCTCGGGAACACTGACAAATCACCGCTGTCACTTACTCATGAACAGCCACTGTTTGCTAACATACCCAAGGAAGGAACCACTCCAGAAGGAAGAGAGTTTTTCGGCTGTATTCCTTTTATCATCATGCCAAGAGCCATACAGAAACAATGTATTTGAAAGCATTCACTTAAAGGCAGCTAGAACATGAATTTGCCTCACATTGTCCATGATGGCTAAATTCCTAAAATGATTTGATTACCATGTAATTAACAAAATACGTAACATTAATTCTCTCTAAGGTTACAGAATGTAACATATCACATGTAACAATGATAATCTTAATTCTTACCACTGTTTTACTCCATGTAATCTTGCAAAGAAGAGTTTTTACTCTTTCACAGTAGGATCATCATGATCATCATGAACAATAAATTTTTCCAACTTATATTGGAAGGATTTATTCCTTATTAAAACCAATTAAGGCTCATCTTTAAAGGGACTACATGTGTTATTTAATGCTTACTAAATATTAAGTATATGCTCATTTACTACTTTAAAAGAGAACCTTCCATGATTTTAGTCTTTAAAAACAATCAACATATAATTCTGTATATTGACCATTAATTTTATAGCTCAGTTTCCATGGTTCAGTTGATAATAATTTTAGTTAAAATGATATATTTTATATACCACAGACTAGTCACCTACTTTACAGTTAAATGAAATTTCAGACATTATTGTTTACTTCAGCATTTTAAAACTTTTCACAATGAAAAGAGTGATGCCTATTAGGAATTACTTGGGCAGCTATGCAAGAGTGCAAAGAGCTACAGAATCACATTACAGAATGACTGCAAAGAATGGAGGCCTGCTGACGTATCTATACCAACAAACAATACTGTAAAATCCAAACTTCTAACCTCCAGACCAATAAAGCAGTCATATCCATGTGAACTTAACACTTTCATCTAACTATTCCTCATTTTGTTAGGGAAGGAAGGAAGGGAACTAGCATTTATTCCCGTCTACCAGGAACTAGGCACTTTGCAGGTGTTTTCTTTTTACATCCCTCAGTCTTTGTGGTAAAGGATGCTGGGCTCTCAATATCCCCTTTCTGCTTATGGAGAAACAGGCTTAGTGTTAGGCAGTTGCTCACCACTCACCAGCTAATCAGTGCTGGGTTGGGCTGTCTGAGCCTTCCCCCTAGGACATGGTTTTCAGTTTTCCTCTCTCACGAATCAGTCTCTCCTGCAATCAGGAACAAAGACTCCACAGACCCCTTTACACAGTGATCTCAAAGGAGATGGAAGAGGAACCCCTGCAGCAAGTAAACTCCTTAGGAGTTTCTCTTACCACCTCCCCACCCTCCCACCCCAGCCTAGAATCCAGTCCTCACTTTACAGATGACGCCCAGGAGGCCAAGGGACCTTGAGAAAACAAAGGAACAGGGTGAGGTAACGGCCGAGAGTGAGGCCCTTAGACTCTCCGTCCTAGACCCTTTCTACTCTTCAATACAGCCTTCTGCATTAATATTAGTTTACAGGCCAAAGCAAAGTTTTGGTTCACAACCACTTGGAAAAAAATGTGCATACAAAAATTGCAAATATTATATAAACATAATATTCATTAAAAAAGATAAACAGCACTAGTTTATGCACTAAGGGCTGAAATATGAATGCAACTGTATGAATTATCCCTATTTTGCAAAATCTAGCCAAGTGATTATTTAATTCAATAACTATAAGTAGTAAAAATAATTCAAACATTTAAAATAGTTCATGATCTTCAACTTACCTTAAACCATAGCAAGGCAGAGTGAAGAGCCTGAACAGTGCCAGGAAAACTCTTAAAGGAAGCAGGGTGAACACATACAGAAATGCATCCAGGCACAGAAAGATTCCAAAAACCATGAGCTGGATTGTAAAAGGAAAGAAGAAAACAAAAAAAGAAAATTGTAAAGTATTATTTAAATAATTGTAGATGAAAATTTCTAATCTTTGTGAGAAATTTGTTTCTCAAAACTTAGCTATGATATGAACAATAGTTCTACTTGTGTGTATGAGTCATATATTTAATTAGAAATCCTTTTTTCAAAGTGAAGTGTTGGTTCTTCTCCTAAAGCCTTCAGTTTACTACTACAAAAGTCAATTATTCAAAAGAATTTGCCCTTGTCCATTGCTATGAAACATCTGATGTGGTTTTCTGGGTACTTACTCGAACTTCAAAGATACTGTAGAAAACCTTCAAATAGAACTTTTGAACTCTAAACTTCTCTCCTAATTTTGCTGTTTCCAGCTTATCAGAGTGCTTCATGGATGGGCAAGACTGGAATATATATTGAGTTAATGTACTGTTCATGTTTTAACTATATGAAGTGAGCACTAATTTTAACACAATTTCATGTGCACTCAAACATGCTGTGCTCAGAGGCATTGTTTCTAACTGGAGAGGAGCTGATAATGGGTATGTCTCTTCCCTTTCCCTGTCACATCCTTCCTTTTTTTTGTAAATTATATATTTTTACCTGTTAAGTTTAGGACGGTATTTCACAGGAGGGTAGGGCCTTCAGATGGCTTAGAGGAGCAGTCACATCACACCCAGGCTACCAGACTCTGCTGTTGCAGGAGCAGTGGCTTTCTGTGTGTCTGACACAAATGTGGTATGATATATATGCCCTCCACACTATACTCAGTGTATCCTTAGTCAGTAATCGTTCTGTGTAAATATATTAAGTAGTTAAAATCCATACTTTCATGGACAGAATTGTGTGTTCCCCAAAATACTTGTAAGCTAAAGCCCTAACCACTAGGACCCCAGATGTAACTGTATTTGGAGATGGGTCTTTAAAGAGGTAATTAAAATGAAATGAGGTTTTTGGGGTGGGCCCTAATCCAGCATAGCGTCCTGATCAGAAGAGAAAATTTGGACACAGACATGGACAGACGGAAGAAAATACAAAGAGATGGGGAGAATATGGTTTACAAGCCCAGGAAAGAGGCCTCAGAAGGAACCAGCCCTGCTGACACCTTGACCTCAAAGTTCAGCCTCCAGGACTGTGAGAAAACAAATTTCTGTTATTTAAGCCATGCAGTCTGTAGTACTTTGTTAAGGCGGTCCTAGCAAACTAAAAACACATCCTTTTTTTTTTTAAAGTATTGTTAATATACAATCTTGTGTTGGTTTCAATTGTACATCACAGTAGTTTAACAGAGTAATAACATCTCTTTATTAACTTTTTGCAAGACTGTATCAAACACACACTAGATTTCTTAACTGGAATACAGACTCTAACAGCTTTTTTTCTTTAACAATTAAGACTCATATATATATATATATATATATATATATATATGCAATAATGATAGTTCTACTTAACTACCAAATTGTGTGCTGCAGACCACATGATTTCTTCAGTATTTAGCCTTCCTTCCATGACAGCTGGTCACCCTCTTTCTGTCCTGAGCACAGTCACAGTTCTGCAACTATTCTTGTTTTACACACAAAACAGTGGTGCAGCAGACTGAGATGATCCACCTAAATTAAAGCTAGTGGTCCTGATTTATTACTCTCCTGCCACTGAGAATCCTTTCCATCTGCTGGTGGACTGTTGGTTATACTCCAAAGGCAGAAACTCCAGAAACCCAATGATCATATGTGCATTATGGAAGAGAGCACATTGGGAAGAAGAGTGAATGTTTTTCCCTCTTGTGACCTTACACAGGCATGAACAAATGGCTCATTCATCCAACATCTACCAAGCTGTTAATACGGGCCAGCTAACATGCTCAGCCCAGCAGGCACAAGGCCAGGCTGGACACCACGATGGGGTTCCTGTCCTCTCTAAGCTTATTTATGTTTTAGCATAGACACCAGTGTGTAGATAAAGGAGGTGAATGCAGTGGTAACAGCCACCGTGACAGAACTGAGTATGCAGGGAACAGGGCAGCCCCACAGACAGAATAACCAACCGTGTCGGAGTGATTCAGAAAAAGTTCGAAAGAGGAGACTCTTAATGACCTCTGAAAAGATGAGGGCAACTGCCACAGGGAGGGCGTGGGCTGGGCAGAAGAGGGGGTGAGGGGGCAGGAAGCTTTCCAGGGGGAAGAAGCAAGGGTAAGTGATTGCGAAGGAGGAAAGTAATTATGAAGACTAAAACTTTCTCTTGAAAGAATTAAAGGGTAGTCACCTCTCTTTGGCTTAGGGGAACAAAAGTGCAGTGGGCCTTCCCCGTCACATTTCAGACCAGCCTGACAGCCTCCGTGGGAAAACAGTGATCTCACTGTGCAGTGGCTGTGTTACTGGGCTACCTGGAGCTGCTGATGCAATAGGTCTCTACATCAAAATGGGAGGAGAGAAGTGGCTTCCATCTAAAATTTCAGACGGGTGCAGGGCAAGAATTCATGTACACACAATGCACAACAAAAGAAACTGGAATGCCCTTCAGGGTTTGGAAATGGACAAAAGGGACTCACCTATTGTACTATTGTTTGGATATAACACTTTCTCATTAGGTAAACATTCTTTTAAACCCTTTACAAATGAAAATGAGAAAATGTCCTTAAAAGGTAAACAGAACATAATCCTGAAAAATTCATCCTTGAAGGAAGTGGGTGCAGCATGAGCCTGGCGCCCTGCTAGATGGTACACACGCATTATCTCACTGAATTTCCGTGGCAACCCAGGAGCTTGAGGGGACCACACAGGGATGTATCCTGTACGAGCAAACTTCCAGGTATGGTGGTAAACACCTACCATTTAATCCTCCTAACAGCGATTTGAGGTAGCTATTGCCATCTTTTTGACACATAAGGAAACCACAGCCCTGAAGCTGAATGCTTACCCAAGGTGTGGGTCAGAGGAACAGACATTCCAGCCCAGATCTGTGCGCCCCACAGTCCTGCATGATCTCTCTGAAGCAGTAGGAGCACTCCCTATTTTTAGCAGAAAGATCTTCCTCCCTCTTTCTGTTAGGTGAGGAGTTAACACAATAGTCTTTGTGCTAACTATTCTTTTGCCAATTTGCCTAGTGTCTAGTGTCCTAAAAAATGCACAAAACTTGAATCAAACTTATGAAAGGCATACACATTTCACATATTTACATTTATTGCTAGCTTTGAAAATGTTACTAAGAATTAAAAGTTTTGAGTATATATTATTAATGAGAATAATTTACACTTTCACACCTTCAGTTCATTTGTATGGCACCTTGATAAAACAGGCACTTTTTTCAATTTTCTTTTTATTTGGGCCAAATAACCATGAAGTATTCAAGCAGTCTTAAGTAATGCCGAGCAAAAATTCCCCTGAAATATACGAGGTATGACTACAAAGTAATGAAACAGGTGTCAATAACACTCTGTTTCACTTTGAGAAATGCAAAAATCTCCTGCCCTTCTTAAAACGCCACTTGAAATTTCAATATAAATACAATGCTGTAGCTACAATTAAAAAAGCACAATGCTTCTGAAATAGGCCTCTTTGTATCAAAGGAGTCTGTCCTATTAGCTGACAGTCATGCTTGTGCATCAGACCCTGTGAGTCTCTTGTCTGTTCCCCATTTCTTGTCCACTTCTGGTACGGCTAGCCACTCCAGTCTCCCGTGCTTCTCCATGTCCTAGGATGCAGATCTTACCTTACACAGATCTTCCGGGCCTTATAATGAATATATCCTCTCTCTGAACTCGTCATTACATAAATAACAAGGAGCAGAAAAGCAAAATATGGCAAAGAACCAAAGCATAATGAAAACAAGGAATCACACACTGGAGTTTCAGGTTTTTATCTCTCTTCCATTCTATGCCTTTTCCCAGGAATGGAAGACAAAATGCTGCACAAGGTTCTGTACGAAAACTTTCCATGGCTAACACTCCTTTAGTTTGTTCCTCCTTCTCCCTCTTAATCAAACATTTTTTGTGTAGCTCTAATGCAGCAGAGACTGGGACAGCTGTCTAAAGCTTATGTTCACTGTTTTACAAAGGTCAAAGTCTTGTAAAACAATATAATGCCAAAAGAGGGTTCAAACTCTTGACTACTGCCCAGTCAGAAATGCCCTCATATTGTAGTTCACTGCACACAAATTCATATATACACTCACAAGCCCCTAAGAGAAGTTTCACCAAAATAATATCAACTTTTACTCCATGAAATATAGGTTGATATTTACTATTTCCCTTTTATAAAATAATGCTGGTCTCACTAAATTCACGACCCACTAATGGGTGGTAACTCAATGTGGCAAACAGGTCCCTGGAGAAGCAGGCTGGCTGGAACTCACTGGCTGGGCAGCCGCACAGGCAGTGCAGACAGCTCAGAGTGGCTGCAGCGAGCTTTACTGAGGGTATTTGAGTTGGAGCACACTGGTCTTTGTACAAAACTGAGATACAAATTACAGATACTCAATTTAAAGATTTCTCTTAAGATGCATTCTGAGTAGAGAGTTATAAAAAATTTACATGGAAAAGTTATTTTGAAATAATCTGCTTAATATGGTAGCTCTTATAATCCTTCTTTGGAATAAGAAAACTCTAAGCTTAACAATCAAAGGGCAGAAATGGTAGCTGACTTTTCTGTCTCATGAGAGATCTTTCTGGAAGGACTGCAGAAACCTTCTACAGGTCCTGGGCAATACGGTTGGATACTGGCCAGGTGCTGTGTGCCAGGCCTGTGTCCATAGCCTTGGCCCACCCGCACCTCCACTTGGAAAGGCAGCTCCCACCCCAGCATTACAGTGAGATTCAGAAGCTTGCCAGGTGCAGCTTATGAGCAGTAGAGGCAGGGCCAGACTTCAGTTGGTCTGCAGAAAACAGAAGCATTATTTCTATTAATGACACCTATCACTCATCTAGCCTGCCTCAACCTTGCCACTGGATTTGGTCTTATCTATATTAAAAATAAAAAGATTTAATGCACGTTT